ATTTTTGCAAACGCTGGAGTGCTGCTCTCAGCACTCCAGCGTAATATAATAGGAAAAACAACACCTTCAATTCACCTACGTTTGTCTGTTGTGCATCACGTTCTCTAGAGAATTTGTTTCTTATTGATGAAATGTAAATGTTTGTTGATTTTACCAAATCTTCCATTATTTATTCATCAATAATTTCCAATGAACACTCAGTTAGATGTTTCAACTTTCTAAAGCTTTTGGTAAAATCCTAGTATACGGTGCAGCCTTGGCGCGATTTTGAAAATTATCGCCAACACCAAAAATGATCCGAAGAACGTCTATATATATACTATGTGTGTATATACACTATATACATAGTATATACTATGTATAACTATATATTCTTTGAATGATCCGTTTACTACTCATCGTATATGTCGCGTTTTTACTGCTCATCATAAAGTCGCCAAAAGTAGCCAAATCCCGTGTGCACCGGATACTAGGATTAAACCAAGCTTTTCTTGACACTATACTGTGCGGCCGTGACCGAACGTTTTTCGAGGGTACTTTTTTACTTCAAATTGTTCCATCTATTCAAACATAAAAATTATATGATGTCAAAGAAGATCATGGGAATCATCATATCACTGGTCAGAAACAGTTTCAGGAGCACTTTCAGAAATATTATTGCACTCAGAATCGGAATTTTCAGTTGCGCTATCAGTTTCAACACTAGCGAGAAGAACCCGCAGTCGTTACTGTTCTCGCTCGTACGCACTCATATCAATGAGTGTCTCCCTGGAAGTGAAACGTTAGTACACGCGCGGGGTAGCTACAATCCCGTTGCACATGCCTTCCCGGAAAACACAAAAATCCCATGGACACGGGAAAAATTCCTTTGGACGACCACTTCCTAATCTTGATCTTGAAAGGTACATAAAGTACTAGAAAGGTCACGCACGACCTTCCCTTATTTTCTAAGAAAAGACTACACGTGGGGTGGATTTTACCCCAGCGCGTGTGCTGACGGGTTAATCCCTCATTTAATTATTTGATATTTTGTAATTATGTATGAACTTGATGACTGTTTTCATGTAGTTCTGGTTGTGTATGCTTATTTACTGTTTTCTTATGGCATGATGCTTTCACACTTCCCTTCTTCAACACAACCCACCAGCTCGACAGCTCTTTCCCCAAAATTTTTTAGCACATATAATGATGCTTTTTTTTTTTTAATCTCCACATCACTTAGATTTTCGGTTAAATTTTGAAACTTTTAATTGCACTCGATTTGGGGTAGGGCAATAGGCCCATGTACCCGGGTGTTTAAAGCAGTCTACATCATGATGACTAACTGAGAGAAATAACACATACACATATACTACACTAATCTACCTTTGCGACTGCACTATCAGACTCTTAGGCAGAATTTCTGCATTAGAAAATCTAACATAGAATAAAGAACTAATTAATTGATTGCGTGATTGATTGATCATAGTAGCCAAGTGATTGATTGCAGGATTTCTGTTAAAATTTTTTTCTATGATTCTTGAAAAATTCCTTAAGCTTTTTATGGTTTAAATACATGAGATTAAACCCTTATCTCTGGCAGAATAAAAGCTAAAAAAAAAATACGCAAAGTTTGAAACGTAATAAAAAAATATGATAAATACAATATGTTAAAATTCAAATTTCGATTTTTTACAAAAAGTGGACGTTTTATTTATGAATTCACTTATTTCGTCCAAGGAATATATGAACTGAAGACGAAGTATAGACAAAACTGTTTTAAAATGAACACTAAAAATTTAGTAAAATCTTAGATCTAATGCGAATTAAAATGACTTTTACGAAGTTGGCGAGTTAACTCATGTTCTCAGCTTATGGGCAAACATAATGTTTAAAACGATCATTTCGAGAGTTTATGAGGAAAACTGTTTTTCTGTTTATGAGGAAAACTGTTAATAGGTTTCAAATAACTTGTTTTAAACCTGATACAATAAATACTCGAAGAAATATATTACAATAGAATATCAATAAGAGGGAATAAATTTTATGTCACTTAATAATTAATATTCATTTTCGTAATTTTTAAAAACTGGAAAGAAAATCCGCATAAATATTTGGAGGCAAAAACTAAAAATTTGAAACAATTTTTTAGAAATTATGCCTGATGTGCATGTACCACATTTTAGAACAATTTATTCTGCTGCTTCTGTGACATAGTATTAATTAACAATAAATTTGTATATTTGAAACTATACACTTTTTTAAAAAAATTTTTAAAAACTGACGTATCAATTACAGTTTTAAAACTAAATATCACTGTAAGAGAAAAAAACTCTGATTCGAATAAATTTTGCTTCAACAAAGTTCATTATTATGGGTAAGAATATATATAAGAAACAGTTAAATGTCTACTTTAAAATTTTACACATCGATTTTCCCATACGCCTTTACCTCAGACAGAATTTCTTTTATCAATATACTCATATAATATATTACTTTTTAATATTTTATCGTACATCCTTTAGGTTTGGCAATTAAGTGTATTTATTAAATAATCATAAATAATATGTACAGTATCTAAGGCTTAAAGCCCATTTCCAAAAGAGCCTTAACACTTTTGTTACCGTTTGAGCCTTAGAGAGGAGTTTTATTTCCTGTTGAACCCAATAGGGAAACACCCCTTCATTTCATTTTTCATACAGTTTGTGTTTTTACACCCTTTTATATAAAGAGAATGTGAAGTTAGGAACTGAAACTTCCATCCACGTAGCATTAAAACGGGAAAATAATAATGAAAAGGGAAATATTTTCACACTCGTAAAAATGAAATTTTTTATTCGCGTATGAAATGTTATATAAAAATCCAAATAAATATTTATAATAGTGTAATAAGTATTTTCATATATTTTACCCAAATAAATGTTTATATCTTACATAAATTGGTATATATTAGCTCCGTGAAATAATTACTTAGAAATGCTAAATATACCTAAATGTTATATATACAATGTTACTTTACTTGCAATGTTACTTTAATGTAAATTAAGTTTTGTGAACAAATTTTCCTTTTTGCTTTTTTTTTTTTTCCCCACATAGTTAAAAACCAAAAGTTATGTAGATTTAAACGTTTTGGCTCAGCTGACTAAACATGCTTCTGCTTGTTTTGCTACAGGAAATTATACATAAAAACAACAAAATTTTATTGTACAAATTTTATTTTAAAAGAAATCGGAACTTCTCGTCATTTAATTTCTAGTCAAGATTAGCTGTTGGCTTTGAATAAATAAATCAGTTATAATCTTCGGTATAATGATTAGTTTAAAATAAGACGTAAGTTATATTATGTATCCTTTTTATTTTGGATTTATACCAAATGAACTGAAGTCTGAGGGAAAAAAATTCACTCTATAAATCAGACATGAGTCAGTTTAAAATGTTGGGAAAGTTTCCAAAGCTTTTCTTATTTTGTTTATTTCCCAATACTTAGGAGTATGTCCTTAAATAATAACAAGTATTATTTAATTGTGGTAATATCTCATATTATCTTTAACTTGGTGCGTTTAGAATATAAGAGTTTAAATATTTCAGTAATTTCCTCTAAGAATTAAACTTTCAAATGCCATTTCTCACACTTTTTCTTGAGATATTTATATCCTGAAATTTAAAATGAGCTAGAATACTCATTAACAAGAACATCCTTATCATCAGAGTTTTCAACAAGGCTTGAAGATAGTTCATAGATGGTCAAAAGTACGAAAATGAATGCTTTAAGAAATCAGCAGTCAACAATAGTAAATTTTGTTAACCTTGTTATGCATTTTAAAAACACAAAGCATTTGGATCTTAGATCACCAAGTGACGGGAAGTTTGAACATATCCGACTGACTAAAACAATAAACCGTTTTCTATACTACTTCTTGGTTAATATTAAAAAAGATAAGTTCACTTTATCTACAGACTCGGAATTTTCAATAAAATTTGCGAAATACAAATATCTGGACTGACTAGAACCACATTTTTTCGGAAAAACTGGGTTGTAACCAAATGAGAGACATTTATTTTTTCGTTTATCATATTACAAAAATTAGAGATAAAAAATATGATTTCCATGGCGCAAAATGCAAAAAACAAACTTTCCTAAAACACAGAACCCGATCCCATTTCATCCAAAATAAAACAATGAAATTAATTAAAATTTATGCCTGTATTGAAACTATACACACAGCTCAATTCGTTTGCATTATACTAAACGAGATTTTTCATTTCCATAATACAAAAGGCATAGTCTATTTCTATTCAATTAAAAATAAACTACTGCATTTTTTTAAATTAACAAAACTTTAATCAACTGAAAATAATATATATATAATACAAAATGTATAATAAATATATCATTTAAAAAAAATTATAAATTAAATATAAATATATTATAAAAAATTATATATTTATAATATATCATTAAAATACTATAAATCTATAATAAATATGTCATTAAAAATTATAACTATATCTTTTCACATTAATTAAATCAATATAAACAGCTAGATAAATTAATAATAAGTTTTATCTGAAATCCTGTTCTACTGTACTTGTGTGAATAAACATAACTAGCATGAGCCCTTAGTTCAATTAAAAATGAAAATCTAGAGCTCATATTAAATATAAAACATGATAATTAGTAGTTCTCAAAACTTTTGCCTGGTGCACAGCACATTTTATATATCTCCTTATCTCATAATTACAATTTTCTTATGTCACGACACATCCATTATTTCATGGTAGTAATCGTTGTTAAATGTTCATGAGAAAAAATATAAAACATTTTAAAATTCACGAAAAAAAATCTTGGGCTCTTAAATTTTGTAGATACATTCCTAATCGGAAAGCCCAGATGCGCACCAGTCCGCATCGGAGAAGGGGGGGCGTAGGGCAGTGCGTTCACCTGCGAAGCCTAACGGGCCGCGTGCTTTTCCGCCGCCCAGCTGTGCTGGAAATAAACAAACAGAGTGGAGTGGACTTACCATAGGTGCATCCAAATCCGTCTCTGGATGTGGATCCATCCTGAAGGCGGGAAGGGGGGCTCTGTTTTTGACACGAATTTTGGCCCCTGGTTTAGACACCGCTCACCAGAAAGAAAAGAAGAAAGCTTCGACTGTAAACAAGGGATCGCTCCAGCGTCGAACACCACTCTACAAATCGTTTCTACAGAGATCGCGCAGACGATCAGTCCTTCGCTTAGCAAGAGTTACCCACTAGACTGAGGAACGACGGCGGCGTGTTTCGCGGGTGCTCCGGACGATCCCAGGATGCAACGCGCGTCTTTTCAGCCTATCAAATGAGGCGCGGGCATCGAGGGCTCGGCGCGGGATTAATTTTATTGGACCAAATGTCGGCGCGTCTTCGCGAATCGCAAACCTCGTATTATTATAATATTTATTTTAGTTTCTCGACTTGACCGGCGAAGGAGAGAGAAAGAGGTGAGATTTTTTCGATCACGGCAAAAAAGTTTTTTATTCGTCCCGGAGTTAGGCGGGGAAAAAGTTAGGGAAAGTTTCGCAGGGCGCCTCCGCGCACAGGGAGGTTGCGCGATTTTCGTTTCTCCTTCCGAATGGTTGAACTTCGCGTACTCTCATGGAAATACTTTAGCTCTGCATTCTCATGGTCAGCATGATATTAAATAACTATGGTTGCTTCTTAACACTGACCGACACCAGCAGGTTAGAAGGCCAGATTTAAAAAGGATTTATAACTGTAATTTTAGAATTCATTTAGAAAAAAAAAAAAAAAAAAATCTGAGAACTTCATGTTAGTATCTAACATTTCGAAAAAGCTAAAATTTACACCATTAAAGTTTAAAAAGAAACATGCATTTAAAAATTAAAAAAATGAATTTACAAACCTGCAATCTGATTTTGAAATACAGATTTCACTTTCAGAACCCATGAAACAATTTTAAACTAAGCAATTACAATAAGTGCACTACTAGTTTAAGAATGAGCCCACGAAAACTAAAGACACAGAATATAAAATTTTGCATTTCAAACTGACTGTGGAAAATGGCAAAGCAAAACGGTAGATAAAAAATTTGCTGTGATATTATTTCGTTGTGAAATAGTGTCACGTGAAGATTTGTCTACTTATTTAATAAAGATCTGGTTATTGAAAACGTAGCTGCATTTTTATTTCATAGGATTGTTTGTGCATGAGGACTGCAACAAATATTACTCTGAGATGGCAACACTTTTTATTTTGCCAGATGCATAATCCATAAATTGAAGCAAAAAGCGCCTCTAAGAGCACTATGTGCTGGGAATATCTCATAACAGCGCAACATGGTCAACTGTTGTCTCGATGGACCCTTCACGTAGATAAGTCTTAACCAAATGTTCCTTCAACAGAGTAACAGCAAAAGGACCTGCAATAATAAATTCATCATAATTATTACAATAGAAATTTAGATATGAAATACAATACTCAAGTGAGAAGCTTCGAAGCATCAGGCGAAATTTTGTCCAGATGTAGTCGTGATTCAAGATACTGTGTGATGTAGTACACTATCAGATCATGGACAATTAATCAGAGAAGCTCTAAACATCCAATAAAGCAAAATTTTGTTTTGGTTCATGATTAGCTTCTGCTAAGAAAGCAAATTCATAAAAAGTTAAAAATACTGAAAAAGTTACGTCTTAAAATAAGAAAAGCTAGCTGGATTATCCATTCTTATAAGCAGTGACATTCGGGAAGTGATTGCACAAAGAGCATTTTAACTTTGCATATTGCCAATGCTTCTCTAGGTACAAAGCAAATGTGAGCGAATCTGCTATTGACCGTCTTTTAAGGAGACAGTGTTCTTTTAGATGGACAGCCGTCATCTCCTTTGCTTTTATCACTTCAAAAATCTTATCAATTTGGAGTCCACTTTTACTTCTGATGTCTCAATATCGAAAAGATTTGATATTTATCGTATCAATTAATTCTTGTGTAAATTGTGGCTTATGATCATATTCGTAGTTGACGTTCAAATGACGAAGATTCTCTTGGTTTTAGAATATACTCAGAGGCCGTAGTGAACATCTTGGACATGTCCGAAGAAGGTTGGTATTAGAGCGGAGGAGTTGTACGATTGGGTGAATGTAGACAATTCTGTTTTCATGATATTCTCTGAAAATAACAACTAAATAATCGGATATGTCTTGTAAAAAGTTTGGTTTAGTTTATTTCATTATGTCAAGTCATATTAGGCCTGTCTGCCTAAGAGAAGAGATAGCCTTCATGGAAGAATTTTTAAGGAAAATTAGCTCACATCCACATGGGGAAAAGCGCAAAACGCCCACATAGCCAGACCGTTAGCTTGGAAACGAACCCAGGTCGAATTACCAACGTTCAGGGACTTTACGTTAGGAACTTAAACGACATTTAAACTCCTAAAATCGAGAGTTATTGTTGTCACTATAAGAATTTCATGACAAAGCAAACTGAAAATTGTTGCCACTTTATTTGCTAGATAGTTTGATGCTGATGAGGAAAGCCATCTGGAATAATTATCCATTTTCCTTATTAAGTTCGTGCAAAAGTTCTTTTTATATAATTAATTTAATTAATTTATGGTGGAATAATATCATACATCTCCCACTTGATAATGAATCATGAATAATATAATCTTTCCTGTTTAAAACTGTTTTTCTGAACAGTTCATTTTAAATGTTTGACGTTGTGTACCATATTTCGTGTTTCAGAAAATTCTTTCTAAAATTCAAGCTGACTTTTTTTTTTTAAAAAAAAAAAAGCCCAAAGGGACAATTTTCTCAGAAGGGCTACTAATTTCGTTTTTGCATTTTGCGTAGTCCATTATAAAACGGAGTTTCACTTTTCAAATTGTTGCCACCTGCATTATATTTAAAGAAATGAAATAATGAAGAAACTGCATGAATGCATGTATGTTTCTCGCACTGTGAAACAAACAACGGTACTTAGAAGCATCAAATTTTGAATGCGTAGTCCTCCACTCGAATACAGGCATCTGGAAGCCCAAATTTGGAATTTTAAATTTGTTTTATCATCTATTTCATATTTTGTAAATCTTTAACGAATTTTTGACTAACAGATTAAACAATTTCAAAACAAGCAATGGCAACACTGTACCGGGGGGGGGATTATCTTCAGCGCGCGAGACTGTGTATCGGAAACTCTAATGATATGCTCATTTAAAAATTATTTTGCGATATTGCCGTTGAATTGAATTTTATGGTTTAAGTGCGATGAACATGATATCTTCTAAATAAAGGTTACACACAAAACCGTTAAAAAAACGCCCCTTTGGGGGTAATATAAAATCTGAGAATTTCCAGATTTTATATTATTATTTATTACTTTTTTTAATACTTGATGGAATTCTCCTCCTCCTCCTTTTAGAAATCAAACATGCTAATATTCTTTGTTGAATTCATTATTTAAAATACGAAATACTCAAAATGCTGAACTTTATCAGACGGATCGATTGCATTCATAAATTAAAATTAGTTTTCTGTGTTAATGAAGTCAGGTGTAATGAAATATTTACCATTCTCAAGCCCTCACCTGAACCAAACATGCCGAATATTAATATGGTGACTATTAATAAGAAAAGTAATAGCCTGCCGAAAGTTATAAATAAACGATTGTTTAATGGAAATGGATGATGCAGAGAAGCAAATGAATTGTATGGCAGGTATGTTATGTATGGTATTAGAACTTTTTTTCTAATTATGCTAATGCTGCTGAAGTTTGTAATTAGCATTTGGCTCTACCATACAGAAAATGCATTCTAAATTACATCAATTACACACAGCATAAAAAAGTAAAATATAAAGATTTGAATTATTCAAAAAATCTGAAAGCTTTCAGATTTTACATTACGCCCAAAGGGATGTTTTTTAACGTTTTGTGCATTACCTTTGTTTATTAAATATCATATTCTGCGCACTTAAACCATAACATTCAATTCAACAGCCATATCGCAAAATAATTTTAAAATGAGCATATCCTTGGATTTTCCGATATACAGTCTCGCGCGCTGGAAATTAAAATGTTTCTTCTTCCGTACAGTGTTGCCATTGCTCGCTTTGGAATTGTTGAGTTTGTTAATCAAAATTCGTTAACGTTTTACAAAATATGAAATAAAACCAATTCTAAATTCCAAATTTGGGCTTCCAGATGCCCATATTCGAGAGGAAACGTACGTCATTCAAAATTTGAGGGTTCTAGGTTCACTTTATCACAATGCCAGAAACATGCATATATTTATGCAGATTCTTCATTATTTAATTTCTTTAAATGTAATACAGGGCTCTAATATTTGGTGGCAACAATTTGAAACGTGAACCGGCATTTATAGTGAACCAACGCAAAATGCCAAACTGAAATTTATAGCGCATCTGGGCTAACGCCTTTTCGGCTAAAAATACATTTTAGCCTTTAAATAACTCAATTTTTAGGCAAAATTCTTATATTTTAAAAAAAGAAAAAAAATTTAATCTCTTCTCAGATTGAAAGGTAACACTCTAGAAATTGGCTATTTGCCTGAGTTCTGAAGAATCTACTTTCCGGGCAGTAGCAGTACTTATTAAATATATGAATAGTATAAATGGTATCATACGTAACATAATATAAATGGCCTGAAAGATTTCGGAAAACTCTGTTAAAGACATTTCCGACATCAAAAATCGCTAATCTTCGTTGCCATTGTTTGTGTCGTAATCAGCAAATGTAGATTTCTGGGTAATAACTGAAGCTGTAATAGCTTTCTTAAGCACTTACGGGCAGGGGTGTCAAAATCCTCCTCCAGAAGCAATTTTATTGGGTCCGCGAAGAGTTTTTAATTATAGACTTGCAAAAATTTCCAGATTTTTATTTGACGCTTGGGTTTACATTATTTTCATTTGCACTGAAATCGAACATGAACGACGCACGAGGAAATATAATTAATTTACTTATACATATACTATATATATATGTAAGATAAAAATGTATGAATCAGAATTATAATGTAACTAAACATTAATTCTTCCTCTCTATTCTAAAATCGTAATAACTTATCTGCATTGCGTCATTCAGATTAATCATGCGATCTTACGTAACCGTTAATACCAGATGCCTCTTGACAACCAATCACTGAATTGTAAACCAAAACTTTTCTCTTCGCGTGCTTCCATCTTGTATAACTACGCACTTCAGTTTTTGCCCTCTACTCTGCTAAGATGT